TTGTACTTGTTCTGCCTTTTATTTTATTTTTAAATTATGAACATCCGTTTTGAGAACAAAATATATCCATGGTTTATAATCGACCCCATAATAACGCTTTAGTTTTGTGTTTTCATAATCTTTATCCACGATTCAGCAACATAGGAAAGCAGGTTTTTATGAGGCAGAAATAGTCCAAAATATGTAATACATGATAATGAGAATGTGCTTTAGCTGCGTTTTCGTACGGATATGGATTATAATTGACGTCATAATTCAGGTATTAGTTTTGAGATTTAGAAATGCATGTATCTGTAAAACAAGAATAATGGTAAAAATGTTCTGATGTCCGGCATTCTCACGTTGTCANTGTGCAGAGAGGTTAGTCCGTTTAGTTCACGTGAGTACCATTCTTAGCAGATCACTTTAATATCATAAATTGTGCCTAGTAATGAATGATCTTGTTTTATAATTTTGTGTATGGTATATCGAAATATTCTTCCAATTTTGGATAAGAACATATTTGTGATTTGTAACCTGGGAATCCCTCTGTTTAACATTTCATACTGTTGCAAGGTTGAAAGATAAGGTATCTCTCATGAAATGGACAACTTTATGTCTATGTATATATCATCCACGTAATGAGAGTTTATATCAAATATGCACAATCAAGACACGTTTATCAATTTTCTCAAATTTGAGTTTCTCAAAATGTGCGGATCAACTGGTATCTGTTCTGCCATCATTTTATTAAGATTTTAAAATCTGCTATGAAAATACAATGATATTCGATTGTAAACGCTCTCATTAAAGCGTTGATGATAAACACATAACCACGACACTTTGTCTAAAACACGGCGTATACTTTATCATAGTGATTCACTGTCTCTTTTCAAATAACTTGCTTTTGCAATTTGTTAATACACACAAATCCGCTCTCTACTCTTATCCCGACCACCTTTTCAAAAAACTGGTTTCTATGGCCGGTGCAACGCCTTTCGCGATACTATTTGAGAATGGAAAAGTATTTGAGATTCCTCGTTACAACGAAAACTCGTAGGTCATTTATGAATAAGATTTATTTTCATTGCACATAATTTCTGTACATATTTTTTAATTGAACATGTTGATCACATCACTTATTTTCAAGAATTGTCTCTCAACACCGCCAATAAAGAAACAAATTCAGCACAATGTAATAGAAGTTTATATCTTGTTTAAAAGAATCAAGTCATGTTTATTCAGTTCCTCCCAATTTTCAAATTACGCAGGTCAACTAGTGATTGGTCTGTCATTTTTAATATTTTGTTTATCCATTCGTTATAATATATATGCTGTTCTTATGTTTTCGTTATCTTAGAATTCAGTAGAAAAACGTGTTGAACAAGTGCCACATGAGGCATGGTACTTTGCATCGTGCTTTGTCGTAATATAAATACTAAACATGTGTTTCTGTTCCTACCTCGGTATTTTTATTTAATCCATGAATTTGTCTTGTTCGGTGTCTCTAAAAAATCGCACACTAAGCGGATTGAAACTGGACACATAACATATGTAATCACTAGCTTTTGTAATAGAATGGTGGACAGGAATCCAACATTTATCACTATCAATTCCACTTTCTACAAACTTGATGGTTTTACATGTTCAGTGGCATGAGTAATGCAACGTTGTTAAAGAATTCAGATGAAAAAAAAAACCGCATGGCCATCAGCTATTGTCACTATACACAAGTTATATTATAAAATAAACAAATATGCTTGTTTAATAACTACCTTGTCTCATACATTCATCATAAATGTGAAGATAAAAATGTGAAGATAAACTAGGTTTTGTTCAGCCATTTCTATTTTTAAACGATGAATATTTTCAATGACAATAAACTAATATGCAAAGATTCCTATTGAGCCATAAGGACGCATTTGTTCTGTTGTTTTATTATCCTTATCTACGCGTCGGTTACATAGAAATGCAGGTTTCTGTGAAATAAAAATGCATTGTGCATTGTACAGCACGGGTCGTTCGATCATTTTATTATGTGAGTACCACTCATATCAGCTAATATTAATAATTACTGTGTGTCTAGTCATTGAATAATGGACACATAACCAAAAGCACAGTGTATGGTTAATGAGGATGATTCACAGTACAATCACTATCTTTTGCAAAAGACTGGTACGGAGTAATCCACCATCTACCTCTGTCACATTCAGTGTTTACAAATACCAAGCTTGTACATGGGCAGTGGAATGACAAGTGCAATGGTTTTAAAGCGTCAAAACACAACTCCTGGTTCCGTCTCTCCACATGATTTTGGCAGATATTCAGAAATAAGGGTTATTGTCATTACACACAATTTATATTGTAAAAATGAAGAAATTTGCCTGTTTAATAATTCAGGTTCTTGTTCACATATTACTCATTAATCAGTTGTTTCATAATCCTTCTCAACTCTATCTATAAATGAAAATTCTGGACTATGTAATAGGAGTTTATATCACGTATGTATAATCAATACAATTTTATTTAGTTTCCCCAATTTAAAAATTTAGTACTTGTTCTGCCTTTTATTTTATTTTTAAATTGTGAACATCCGTTTTGAGAACAAAATATATCCATGGTTTATAATCGACCCCATAATAACGCTTTAGTTTCGTGTTTTTATAATCTTTATCCACGATTCAGCAACATAGAAAAGCAGGTTTTTATGAGGCAACAATAGTCCAAAATATGTAATACATGATAATGAGAATGTACTTAAGCTGCATTTTAGTAAGGATATGGATTATAATTGACGTCATAATTCAGGTATTAGTTTTGAGATTTAGAAATGCAGATATCTGTAAAACAAGAATAATCGTAAAAATATTCTGATGTCCGGCATTCTCATGTTGTGCACTGTGCAGAGAGGTTAGTCCGTTTAGTTCTCGTGAGTACCATTCTTAGCAGATCACTTTAATATCATAACTTGTGCGGTGTAATGAATGATCTTGTTTTATAATTTAGTGTATGGCATATCGAAATATTCATCCAATTTTGGATAAGAACATATTTGTGATTTGTAACCTGGCAATCCATCTGTTTAAAATTTCATAGTGTTGCAAGGTTGAGAGATAAGGTATCTCTCATGAAATGGACAATTGTATGTCTATGTATATATCATCCACGTAATGAGAGTTTATATCAAATATACACAATCAAGACACGTTTATCAATTTTCTCAAATTTGAGTTTCCAAAATTTCGAAAATGTGCAGATCAATCGGTATCTGTTCATCATTTCAATGAGCTATTAATACCTGCTATGATAATACAATGATATTCGATTGTAAACTCTCTCATTAAAGCGTTGATGATAAAAACATAACCACGACACTTTGTCTAAAACACGGCGTATACTTTAACGTACTGATTCACTGTCTCTTTTCAAATAACTTGCTTATGTTATTTGCTAATACACAACAAATCCGCTCTCTACTCTTATCCCGACCACCTTTTCTAAAAAATGGTTTCTATGGCCGGTGCATCGCCTGTCACAATAATATTAGAGAATGGAGAAGTATTTGAGGAAAACCAAGTATTGTAGCTCCCTCGCTACAACGAAAACTTGTCGGTCATTTATGAATAAGATTTATTTTCATTGCACATAATTTCTGTACATATTTTATAATTGAACATGTTGATCACATCACTTTTTTTCAAGAATTGTCTCTCAACGCCGCCAATAAAGAAACAAATTCAGCACAATGTAATATAAGTTTATATCTTGTTTAAAAGAATCAAGTCATGTTTATTCAGTTCCTCAAATTTCCAAATTACGCAGGTCAACTAGTGATTGATCTGTCATTTTTAATAGTTTGTTTATCCATGAATATCTTCCTGTCCATTAAAATGAAAAAACAAAATGATATGGATTATATTTGACGTCATAATTCAGGTATTACTTTCGTGATTCGGAAATGCAGGTATCTGTAAAACAAGAATAACCGTGACAATTGTTTGATATCCAACATTTTCACATTGCGCACTGTCCAGAGAGGTTCGTCTGTTTAGTTCATTACGTGATTACCATTCTTAGCAGATCATTTAAATATCATGAGTTGTGCCTAGTCATTGAATGACCTTGTTTTATATTTTTGTGTAAGGTATTTCGAAATATTGTTCCAATTTTCGAAAGTATATCATTTGTGGTTCGTAACTCGGCAATCCGTCTTTTTACCATGTCATAGGTTTGCAAGTTTGAATTATAATGTATTTCTTATTAAATGACCAAAGATAAGTCAATATATAAAATCGTTGGTTACTTATATGTTGAGATCAAAACTGTCCTTATAATATATATGCTGTTCTTATGTGTTGGTTATCTTAGAATTCAGTGTTGAACAAGTGCCACATGAGGCATGGTACGTTGCATGGTGTTTTGTCGTAATTTAAATATTAAGCAATTGTTTGTGTTTCTACCTCGGTATTTTTATTTAATTCATGAATTTGCCTTGTTTGGTGTCTTTAAAAAATCGGACACAAAGCGGATTGAAAATGAACACTTAACATATGTAATCACTAGCATTTGTAATAGAATGGTGGACAGGAATCCAACATCTATCACTATCAATTCCTCTTTCTACAAACATTATGGTTTTACATGTTCAGTGGCATG